TCCAGTGTTTTGACGATTATATTTACGACTGTAGTTTACTTTGCACAATTGTTTATATATATATATATATGACTACGAAAGTATGAAAGGGTAGTATTCTTGACTTTTAATTCATTTTGTAAACTTCAAGCAGAAAAAGCAAGATGAAATCTCCCGCCCACAATTTTCAAGGTTGTTACTGAGATATATTTCCCTATATACTTTCTTTAAATGCTTTTCGTTTTACTTTGTTGACAAGTTGTGTGGATTGCATTTTTTTGACATATACTTTTGTTCAACATCTTTGTAGTTCTTTCCCTCTCTCTTTATGTATATGATTGAGCTAGTCATCGAAACAATTCTCTGTTTTGGTGTCCAACAGTCATACATTTTTGTGAATGTACGATCGTTGACATATTTTTTGTTGCGGTGGTGGTGGTATTGTGAAAATTTTCTCCTAATCAAATTTAATTAAAAAATTGGACACTGGAGATGATTGGTGTACATACAAGTGACTGATTAATGATTCAATATGGGAATAAAATTTAACAAATGTTATATACTACTCATCATGTGATAGTAGTATATATTAATTTAAGGTTCCTTCAGTTAGGTTAACTCTTCAGAGGTAAGAATAAAAATGACTTTATTGAAATGATTTTAGCTAATCAACCACTGAAAACAATATCTCATATTGGCAAATATACATGAGGAAAATACAGTTAAGTGATATGACTTAGCGTCAGTTACATTCACGTTATGTTTACCTTGAGTAACTATGTTCCAACATCATCCTATCTTACTTCAGCTGATAATACTAATCCAATATTTATCTGTTCCGAGTTGGTGCACTTTTTCTCTAGATTTCCACCACTTTCATGACTGCTTCGTTGAAAGTATTGGGGCTCAATTATACTGTTATTTGTTATTGACACCCTATGAATTGTACGACCGTCTTCCGTCGTCGATCATGAATGGATTTTATTAGATTTTTCGGAAACACGACCAGGTTTCTAATCTAATCTTATTTGAGAAGAGTATCTTACAAGTAAATATTTCTGAATAAAAACACGAAATTTAGCGAAAAGATATCATTTCAAAGGATTTATTACCAGGCCTGTAAAAATAATCAGCTAACAGTGGATTATAATGTAAACAGAGCATGATGATTAATATGCTTCTTGTCACAACAGTTGAAGATATTAGAGAAGCTAAATGAAATGAAGTGATGTTAAAAACAATTATAGATAATTTATGGAAATATGAAGAATAATGAAATGAAGAGTGATATTTCCGAATTTGAAGTCAATGGAATGGAATTAAGTAATAATGATTTAAGGTTACGGTAATGACAAAGAAAAGAAGTACTTCTTTTGTACACAAAATTATGGCTTCCTTTCAAGGATGGCAAGAGCTTATGCTGGTTTACGGAGTCAAACACTAAGAAATCTTCGTAGATTTAGACAAATCTCATGTACTTTAAAATCAACATGTGAATCAGTGAAGTAATTAAAGCCGACTCAATGTTCAAAGACAGAACTGCCATGCTGAAATTTATTCTCGTATCCGTGCAGCTTTTGATGATTATGTATCCTCTGAGCTGGATAATTTAACTTCGAAGCTTACACTTTCATCCTGCATAAAATTATCAGCGCCTATTTCAAATGGAAATGAGCTTTTTAATATAAGCACACAAGTGTTGTGTCAGTTCGTTCCATTTACCTGTGTTAATGCATGTCTTCTAGGACTTTATTGTCTTCATGTACTTTAGAATTCCCGTTCATTGTTGTGCTCTAACCCCATGAGCAATTGATCTTCACTGATGAAACTGATAGATTGGATGTATTTCAATGTATTTTGAATGCAATACAACTTAGATATCGAAATTTCAGGAAGTTTATGATATCCTCCATCTAATCCTGTGCAAAAACAGGATTATTGACATAAATCCAACCATGAAACTTCAAAATTCTGACTTTATTTACTAATTTAGCTTTAGTCTTGTAAGTCTGTCTCTTTAATGATTAATAACTAGTGACAGATATTTATGCAAACACTTTCTTCTTTCCCCTTAATTGTTTAGCGTCTTTTGTGAAGATCTTCTGTTCTTCTCCGTCTCTCATTCTCTGAGTATAGGTATAGAGATATTTAAGTCGAAGTATTGTTTCATATATTAACATTTTAGTCGGCGTTTGTTGAGTTAGGGTATTTTCAACAGTTTTATTTTCTGTGTACTAATTTTTTTCATTACTACTTATGCCTTCTCGTCTGTCAGAATTAAAAAGATGATTCAGCTAACAGATTGCAAAATTAAACAATATCTTTTGTAGAAGACTAATTAGAACTGTTACTTCTTAACTGTTATTTGACGTTTACGGATATGAAGAAGTGATACATACGCAAGCAAAACCCAAAACCCTCACCTTCTGAATTTAACTTGGTAAACTAAGCTCAGGTCAAAGATTCTTTCTGGGTAAATTATATTCATTTAGTGCTTTACTGATAAGCCAAACTCCATTAGCGGTCAGTTAAGTAGATATAAACCAACGTACTTTGATCTTAGATGAGTGAATGTCATTGATATAATGCAATTAAATAAAAAAAGCATTGTAAACAGTTTGTTAGTTTGATAATGTTTCTACCCCAGATTTCGATTCATATTAGTACGTGGTTTGGAATATCTTATTGACCAATTTGTTCTGTAATTGGATAAATCGGAATAAGTCATTTCCCATTCTCTGTGAAACCTAAGGTCCTGCATTTGATCGCTAATATGGTTGCGGATGGAGGGTTCCATACTAGGGTGAAACAGCTTCAAATGGATTCTAGTTCTTATTGACTATTTAACCAACATTAATACGTGACGTGAACTATGAAAGTCGTAGATTTGCTAAATATTTCTTCCCAGTCACAAGAAAGATGCAATCTTCCTAAGTTCCCTACGGCTCAATAGAGTAATATACTGAAGTTAGTAATCGTACTTGTTGTCAATTTGTGTGCCATGAATGGAATCCTACTCCTATAGTTTTACTAATTTACTGGTTCATATCGGTCATCAATAAAAAACCTGACAATCCTCTAAAACTCACCCAGTAATGACGAAAGGATACTAATACAAAGATATTTATGTCTTAAGTCTTTTCAGACTTTACTAAACAGGCTTCAGTCTGTAACTCATCCTCTAGAGGAAGAAACTACAAGCATCAAAATAATATAGTTGGTTGATTCCCACTACTGTATTGAAATTGAAATAATTCACTTTGATAAATTACGCATGTTTTTAATTCACTGAATTTCAAGAAGATTGTGGAATGCAGGTACATCCAGCTGATGAGTCCCGAATAAAAAGAAACGCGCGTCCTAAATTCCACTGCTAGGCACCATCCATCTTTGCTTATTACTGTATGAAGTTATTATTGAATTTAATATAAAATATTTGGAACACCATTACAGTTTTTTTATGATTATTTACTGATACGATTAATTTATTCTTTTCCCATTGTAATTTGAGTAGTTCAATTTTCTTACTAGGTTTGAAAAGTGGTTTTAGCAATTCATATATACTGATTGTTTGGATTTTCCCAATGATGCTTAAAAGTCCATTTGATCAGTCTCTTTTGGGATATGTGCATCCTATGCGGATAGCCTCGATAATGTCATTAAGTCACAGGCATTTTTGGGCAGGTGCATCCAACTAACGAGTTTCAAACAAGAAGAAACGCTCATCCTGGCTTCCAGTGCTAGTATTATTTCATCTACTCTACATAAAACTGGCGAAAATACAACTTTATCAAGACAGTCCGCACAGGATACAGATGTACAAGTTGTAAGCAGCTGATGAGAATCTAGCAAAACAAAATGAGAATTATAATTATTGAGATTGAGATCAGTGAATTTCATTGAGGTCACAATCAATAGCTGTCTAAATTATGTCAGTTTATGACCTCAACAAAATGGGAATTCTCGACGCTCTACCCTTGTCGTTGATTTTACGTTTTCCAACCTAATAGAATGTTATGATTTCAATATGAATACCTGAGCCATAAGATCTCCAATTACAGCATAAAATAACACATTCATTTCAACCTCTGAAACAAGCTGTTTTGATGGGAAGTGTCCGAGATCTGATATTGATACACGTGACACATGCTGACCACCCATCTAAGTACTTGATCAGGGACATAAAAGTGAACGAGATAGTATATCGGATTATCGAATGATATGTACTCACATACATATAGATATATATATCCCTTAGAAAATCAATCCACTTGTTAGCCAATGATAAGCACATGTCTTTCAGGTCATTTCAGATTGTCATAAAGTTAGCTTGTCAATTGGCTACTTCTGATTGGCTCATCATACCATGAGTCTTAGAAATAAATTATATTATCCGTAGCATTTATAATTTGAGTGCTACAACAGATATTCACAATCTTACTGTATTAATTACACCTTTTTAAAAATTTGTACACTGAGTACTGTTTGGTGTCAATAGGCCATTTCTACGATCTTGAGATTACACGAACTAGTCTGAGGTGTTTTTATTTTATATATATATATATATATAATTTTATTTTCTCGAACAAAATTCTATTTCTACATAATGACGAAAATCTACGTTTGTAGAATGAAATCAACTATTCTCAGTAGCTTCCTAAATGATATCAGTTTTAGAAGGAAATTGTTTTAAAGCAAGAAGTGATCTTTGTAAACATTAAATTAAGATCAAGAAATTTACTTAATAGTATAGTAGGCCTATTGGTAATAATCAGATGCTTAATTTTTCCTGTTCAATCAAATGATTTAAAAATGTGTATCGTCAGACTTCAATATTATAAATTTGATTTACAACTGACAATATACTCAGAAATGTCAGCCACCTAATTCACATTTATCTACATATTCATTCTACAAATATATAATATAACAGAATCTTATGTGATTAGGGATTGCTCCGTAGAAAAAAATATATATACAATATACAGAAATATAAAGTAATGTAACTCAATAGGTATATTTTAGGCTTTAACTAACACTTCATTCTCTGATAACTGTTTAGATGTAGTGCTGATATTGTCTTGTATAGATGACTGTATATTAATTGTACTAGTATTAATATTCCAGTCCGTTGAAATTCTAACAAATTGTTGATATTCAATATGGAATAGTAGAACCAGTGACAGAATAAATCCAACTATCTGAAACAGAAATAGCTTCATATAAATAAAAGGAAATAACACAGCATTTAGTAAAAATGTCTTATGAGGACCGATGTGTGATAGGTAAGAGCGAGATATGATTGAACAGCGAGTGAAGAAAAATATATATCCAATTTGTCAAATGTTATGACATTAATTAATATCATGAATCCACCCCTATAATTGATTCTTACTCTAATATCCCTAAGGACTCCATGTGAAATACTTGGATTTGTGCTAAACAAGTTATTGTCTGGTTTATAATCTGATAGTTGATTGTTGATCATGAATGTTTCCTCTAGGTATAACATGGTGCTGTCTATACATAGTGTACCAAACCGTTGTATTGTACCATTGTCGTATTATCTACCGAAAACTCGAAAAGTACCGGATTTCGCTGTTATAACAAAAACAACTTACAGATAGCACCAGAGCAGTTGTGCCTGAAGCAGCTAACATGATAGAATATTGTTGATACTCTTGTCTGACTACCGTTACACATCCCTAGAAAAGCAAAACATTCAAGAAAAAACTGGACATTGTTGATGATTTTTACCTTTTCATATAGATATGTATTACTTCTAGTGGTATATAATGGATTATCAATACGAGGTGCAATATCGTCTCTTGTTGTAAGTGACTTATAACCAATACATAGTTCTCTGTCTAGGAAAACACCACTTTGCGACTGAATTTCTGAGAAAGAATTGAATTGAAGATTGTGACTTTTTAAAACACAACAACTTTCTGGAACGTATTGGACCGTCGATTTTAGACCTATGCCAAAATATCAAAAAAGGCATTTAAAAGTTTCGAATAGACTAAAATGAAATCTTATTTTCGAGTAATTGGAAGACAGTTTTGTCCCGGCTGGTCACAAGTAAAACATTTTTAAGAGAAAATAGTAAGGTTTAATTAAAAAGGATTCGCTATCTAAACAAATGGTTTTACGAAAGTCAAATAATTTATTGAGACTTCTGAGATTGCAAGTGAGCTGTTAAGACAATAAAGTTATCATTAAGATGCATGAACCAATAGAGTTCAGTCACAAGTAATAACTTGGAAAAATACCTTATTTACCACTCAGTGACCGATTAGTGTACATAACCCAACCCTATTTACAGTTATTTTCAACCTGAATAGCTCAGTGGTGATGCCTATGGTCCTTACAATAGACAACTTGCGTTTGATTTCTGCACCTTGCTCGTAGTTCTTATAATAAACTTTATGTTTAACCATTTACATCCAGGCATCCGTAAAGTAAAAATATTAACCTAAAAGTTGGTGAATATTTGGCATAGACCAAGCAATAAACCGTCAAGATCCGCCATATTAATGAATCCACGATACTCTCAGTATCTGTGAGAAAAAAACCGAAATCACAAACTGCAAACATTTTACCGCTAGACCTCATATTTTCTTCTATTTGTTACCCCAAGTACCTATATGATACAAGCTATTTAGTAATAATAATCAAGATCATGCTATTTTGTTTTCAATGGGTGTTTGCTATCTGCCCAAACTATTACCCCAGTAGCCCAAAAATGTCTTCAAAAAGTAAATGCAAATGGTTTAAGAGCTCTGGAACTTCTACTTTGTTAATTTCATGTAGTATCACCGCTTCCTCTGAATTCATTTACCATTGGCATCTAAAAAGAATGCTTAACAACCAGTGATAAGAGTCATCGTATGAATTTGTATAAAACAATTTCCAGTTAGTGTAACTACATTTTGACGTTGGCTTGTAGTTTCTGAAATGGTTTATTTGTGCTTATATCTATATTTTATGATGTTTCAAATACTTTTACTTGCTTCCTCCTTTAGAAGTACGATTGGCGGTGTTGTGTTCCGATAAGAATAATGAATGGTAATTTTTGGGATCCAATTATGGACCAATATTGTGAGTATATTTTTATCGTATAGTTGTTATGCAACTAAACTGTTCATATTCATACCCCTCTTATTATGAGCTTTATGTTGACCTATGAACTACTATTGTACAATTTACCATTCATGAATTATTCCCTATCTGTTAATCGCTACCTCCCTCATTCACAGCCACTTCTGGCTAATTATTGTACAAATGTTATTCTCTATTTTATTGGTACGTTGTGGTCGGGTTGATTGGTTTATAAAAAGGGTATGCTTGAAATACAATGATTCATATCTCAGAGGTTGAGACTTGCGTTCTGGACTCAACTGGCTGGGCTAGACAGCGAAGCAGGGCCAATCGGGATTCTAGGTCGTCCGTACTTGTTTTGCGTGTCATTGATCCGATCGATAAATAAGCTGCGCGTCTAATCTGCAGTCACAAGTTACAACAGGCGGGATTGTTCTGTACTTAACTAGATGAAAAATAGTGCACTAGGCAATCAGAAAATTTAAGATAAAACTTGTTAACATTTTTAGCCACATGTTCACACTCGCACATCCGTAATAAAGCGTTTGAGTCTTTATAACAATAATTGCTTGTGTACAAATACTTTATCCGGGATTGAGCAAATATACTACAAATCTATTAACGACATAACACATATTACTAATAGTATATTGAAAAATGAATGACGATCAACCAAGTCAATAGCTTGATAAGTTTTGTAAGTTTGGGAATGCTTGTCGATGTAGAAATTGGGGGACGTAACTATACTCCTCTTGATATAAAAACATTTGGCCGTCCCAACTGTTGTTCTCGTTTACCACGGTACTAGGACACAAGCGGTTTATCCTAGTAGCTGAATAGACTTTAATAACTTCAATAACTATTGGGCTTTTTTATTTTCATAATAACTTTATTACTTTCACAGAAAATTGTGACCTTCCGTGAATCTACTTCTCGTATTTATGTCCTTGTAATTCCAAACGTAGTCACCTTGTGTGTAAATCAGTCACTCATTAGTTTATCTAAAGGAGTTCTGTTGGAAACACTAGGCATTATCTATTCTGAGCGTATATGAGTGGATCGCTTACTTTATTCATCACATATCTATTGCTTACTTTAGTGTGGTATAAATAATGGATTAATATCAAGATTATTTGGCACGCTTGCCTTCGCTTAGTTTTCGCGATTCTCATTTTAATGTCGGTCTGCACAAACGATTATATGAAATAAACCAAATCAACTTCGTCCGTGTTTGGCTTCTTAGTACCCACTTTTCATGAATAGAATTGGTCTAGATGCAGTATACAGAATTAAACGAGGATATATTCATTTGTTCGTCCAAAATGACGCGCGCTAATTAAAAGGACAGTGGTATTTTTCCTCGCTGAGTAAATTCTATTGTTTTGATTGTTTATTACGCATCAATACTACTGTTTTCACTTTAATTGAATTTATTTCAGTTAAAATATTCGATTAGAGTATCGTTTTTGTTTCTAAATTAGTTTTTCGTCGATCAGTCAGTCAGCTACAACGTAGGACCAGGCACATATGTGCATCGGTCCAGGTTGCCATACCTCATTAGCACAGCAAGATGAACACCGGATTCATAGGAGTGGTTAGGTCAAAGGTTGCAATAAGGATATAGTATAGGAAGAAAGAATTAGTTCGTAGACAGAAAGAATGAAGTGATTTTAATCTCTTAGTTTAAGGGAAGACAGAGAGTGTATACACCGACGCCATTGTGATCGATTCTGAGCCATGTCACCAAGAGTCTCCAACCATTGGTTACGAAAGTCACGCGGACCCCAACCAAGTAGTCTGCATCTACCAACATGGCTCAGACTAGAAGTTAGTGACTTCAGGCACTGATGCCACGTTTTGGTTTGGCCGCCCCTAACTTTCTTCCAACCATCCCCTACACCGGTTAGCATTGCACGTCGTGGTAATCGGTGTTCAGGCATACGTAACACGTGGCCCAACCATCTCAGTCGATGAAGATTCATAACCTCATCAACTGATTTACCATCATTCCCTAATGCCCTGCGTCTAATCTCACTATTACTTACCCGGTGATCCCAGCAGATGCCAGCAATATTTCTAAGGCATCTGTGGTCAAATACTTGTAGCTTACGGGTGTCTTCTACTCTTAAGGGCCATGTTTCGCTGCCGTAAATTAAAACAGAACGAACTGTCGCGCAGTATACTCGTCCATTTATTGATAGACGGATATCTCGCCTTCGCCATAGGTGACGTAAGTTGGCAAAAGCCAAACGAGCTTTTCGAATCCGTGCTGAGATTTCGTCAGACACCAACCCATTAGGGCTGATCAGACTTCCAAGATAAGTGAAGTTGTCGACGCGTTCGACTACTTCACTCCCTATCCTTAGTTCAGGTGTTGACGCAAACCAGTCCTGAAGCAACAACTTGCATTTAGAGGGAGAGAAGCTCATCCCAAACATTCTGGCATTGTTGCTTAGTGCTACCAGAAGACTCTGCATTTTGTCAGCGTCTTCACCAAACAGGACTATGTCATCTGCGTATTCTAAGTCGATAAGTGGACCTCCTGGAAGGAGACCAATACCCGAGAATTCAGTCGACGAGAGTGTTATTTCCATCAATAGGTCTATGATGAGGTTAAACAAAAATGGAGAAAGTGGACAGCCTTGACGGACACCACTTGAGGTTGCAAAAGTAGATGACAGTTCGCCATAAGCTCTGACTCGACTAGTAGTGTTCGAGTAAAGAGCCTTCACAAGGTTTATGTACTTCTGAGGTACGCCTTTCAATGACAGACACTGCCACAGAATCTCGCGGTCTACCGAGTCAAATGCTGCTTTTAAGTCAAGAAATACCACCATCGTCGGACGCCGATAGGTATGCCTGTGTTCTAGAACCTGACGAATGGTGACGAATGGTCGATGCAGCCACGACCAGGTCTAAAGCCAGCTTGGTTCTCTCGAGTTTGTAGTTCACGAGTCTTAGTTAGGCGTTTGATAATTATCGAGGCCAGTATTTTAGATACTATGTTTGTTAAACTAATCCCTCTATGGTTGTCACAGGATGATTTTGACCATCTCTTATATATTGGGACGATAAGTGATTGCGACCAGTCAGATGGGATAAAGTCTAATTCCCAGATCTTAGCTAAAATATTAGTCAACTTAATCGCTAAAATTGGACCACCATCCTTAAAGACCTCTGGAGTCAATCCATCTGGACCAGCTGCCCTTCCTCGTTTCAGATTAACTATAGCCTTTTGAACTTCAGCAAGAGTCGGGGGACCTACTTCAATGTTCCATTCACACTGTCTGGGAATGGAGGGTAGTTGTAGAGTAGCTGAAGGCCAGCTGAACTGTTCCCTAAAGTGTTCCGCCCATCGTTCTAAACGCCTGGACTGGGAGCAGATGAGTGTATCGTCTTTTTCCGATATAATCTCACTTACACTTGACTTATTAATTCCAGTTTCTTTTATTAGTCTGTAAAGCTGTCTTGTGTTCCCTATAGTCGCCGCCTTTTCCATCTCTTTTGCTTTCGATGCTCACCACTGCTCACGGTCGTTTCTTAGGCTTTTTCTTAACCTAGATCTGATTTGTTTTCGCTCTTCATCATGTTCAGAACCTGATGGGACGAGTTTGCGAGAATCCATCAGTGTGACAGACCTTGAAGGAATCCACTGGTTCCTTGCAACTCTGTGGTTTAAGTCACTAATAGATGTCACTGCTGTTTCCACAGCTGATTGTATGCCCTTCCAAGCAACATCTGGGTCAGCCTCGTCTTCACAACTACCTAAGTGTGACCTCAGTTGTTCCTGGAACCTACTTTTGGTTTTCTCGTTACTCAATTCAGTTCTAACGGGTCTTTTTACTGTGGCTTTTTTGCGTCCAGTGAGGCGCAAGCAGATGCGTGCCCGTATTAGGGCATGGTCGGAGTCCAAGCAGGTACTCCAGAATGAGCGACAATCTTCTACCGACCCTCTCCAACGATGACTGGTGGCAATATGGTCTATTTGAGTTCATCGTTGGTTTGGTGCAGGCGGTCGCCATGTTAGACGATGTCTCTCCTTATGCTTAAAATTTGTGTTTGCTAAAAATAAACGATTGTCTGAGCATAGCTGCAGCAGACGATCACCATTATCTGTTCGCTGTGTCGGAATACTAAAATATCCACCTAAATGCCTTTCTGTTTGGTTTAAACTGCCTATCTGAGCATTAAAATCACCTGCTACGAGTACTATGTCTGAGCGTTTAGCTTTCTGAAGAAGTTCGGACAGCTTTCTGTAAAATTCATCTTTCACATCATCTGAGCTGCAGTCAGTGGGAGCGTAGGCAGAAACGACAAAAAGGCAACGACGTGTGTCCCTATCCTTCCGAGTTCTTACGTAGCCGTTCAGCCGAACAGCACATAGACGACTGTTGACGGGGATCCACTCTAGCAGTGCTTGTTCCGCCCTCATGCTTAGTGCTATGCCTACACCTGCCAGTCCACGAGAACTTGCCATCGGGTCACCAGATACACGAAGGGTGTACCTCGTTGGCTCTCCGTTTTGCCGAGGTGAGGTCAAGTGAATGACCACACTGGAATCCTGTATGCGTGTTTCGGAGACACAGCACACGTCAATGGTAAGAGACTCTAGGGTTTTAGCCAAGGAAGCCTGCTGACCGATTTGAGTACTTTGTTTTCTGTTCTGTTTGTTAGTACTTTTGGTTCTAACAATCTACAGTCTTCCACTTTTTTTGGTCACAGATCATTTTTGTCTCTGAGTATTATTGCATCTAGTTCTCTTTTTCTAAAAAAAACACCTCTGTCTGATGACTGGACAGTATAAAAAAGTAATTGTCAACGTCCGGGCTGTCGTTATCCCGTTGAAAGCGACATGCAGTGCGATGAGTGGAAAGGCCGGTACCAGGAAGTTTGCATGAATTTAACGCCTACGGCTTTCAAACGGTTCAGTAAAATTGGTTAGCTCTGTCGACACGCAAATTGGTGTGAAGAAAAGTCAGGTGAGTTCGAAAATAGGTGACTCACATTGACCAAAGGAGAAAAAACAGTCTTCAGAGAGGTCTGTCTTAACCAAAAACTCAAGAAAAGAAGTTTCTTCTGTCCCCCGTCTTCTAAGTGGTATCCAGCAGGAAGCGCATAGAAGCCGCAATCGCAAGGCTCGATCGGTTTCTAGCGGGAAACATAACCTGACCTCCCAAATCGTCGACAACCCTCCAGAATCCTACAGTATGTTTGACGCAACTGTGGTTGCCTCTCATAGCAACGTTGACGAATGGTTACAGGTTGTAAGGAAGAAACAACATAACGATATAAAAGGGAATCCTGCCCCCACAAAATTAGTCGAGAAATCGAATGCTAACCACAGTGACAGATCAGTTATTTTTCATAGAATCAAGGAGAATGAAAGCTCTGAACCAAAAACTCGTTTTGAGCATGACATGGTGCTGATGAAACAGCTACTTAATCAACTCGTGCCTCAAAACATCCCCGGAGTCACCTTGCTAAAGATGTACAGACTAGGTAGTCTAGCGAATTTGAAGCGAAATCAATCCAGACTACTTAAAGTAGTATTCAAATCTCCGAATGAACGCGACTTAATTTTACAGGATGGACATAAATTAAAGGGTTTAGGAGTTTTTATCCGTAAGGAATTACCGTTAGTAGACCGCGTAAAAAGATGGGAAGCCAAAAAAGAACTACAACTTAGGTTAGACGCTGGCGAAAAGGACCTGAAAATTGTAAATTTTCGGATTGTAAGGATTCGACAGAGAGTGATACCGAAGCCACTCTGGGTGAAGCACGAAGCCACTTAAACAGGCTTCGGATCTGTTACACCAATGCTCGAAGCTTACTCAATAAGGGATCGGAACTAGGTGTACAGATTGACTCTACAAAGCCAGACATGATCGCAGTCACAGAAACCTGGCTGACACAGGCTATAGATAATATTGAACTTGATTTCGAGGGTTTTACGTTAGTAAGAGCCGATAGAATACAAAAGCGTAAAGGAGGGGGAGTAGCTCTATTCATTAGGAATGCTATCCCACTCACCATTATCGACAGTGTATCCCAGGAGAGTGGGACGTGTGAATTAGTTAGCTGCCACTTGAAATGCAAGGGACAAGAGCTTCTGATTGGTTTGGTCTATCGCAGTCCAAGCTATGAGGTAAATGAGATCCTGCTAAGTAGTCTCAATACTTGGTCACAAAGTGGTCGATGTCTAATCCTAGGGGACTTTAATGCACTTATGGTAGACTGGGAAAATCTGCGAACTGAATTATCAGAAAATTCCTTCGAGAAGGAACTAGTTGATGCGGTTATCACATGTGCCCTTGTGCAACATGTGAAAGAAGCGACTAGGTGCGACCAAGACGCTGAATCATCCTTACTAGATCTTCTATGGACTCACTATGAGGATGACGTTGCGAACATCTATTACATGCCAACCCTAGGTAAAAGTGATCACGCAGTTTTAACTTTCGACTTCCATATAACTGTCAATCACGAGTACGCGTTAGCTCAATCCAGACCTAACTTCTGGAAAGCAAACATATCAGATATCATGCACTCAGCATCGTTAGTAGACTGGACAATAGACCCAGAGTCCTCAATTGAAACGGCTTGGGACGCATTTCGAAATTTATGCTTAAAAGTTACCGCACTCCACATCCTTTGGACTATACCAAGGGGGCCGAGAAACTCTCCACCGTGGTTCAGCGGGGAGTTCCGCATCCTTCTCCGTAAGACAAGAAAAATGTGGGATAGATTTAGGTTACTAGGGACTGATGAGACAAAATCTCAGCATCAAAAAGCTCGGAATACCTGTGCCTTGACCCTCCGTAAGTCTAGAAAGTTGTACGAAGACAAAATTGTTAAGGAATTCATAGAATGTCCTAAACGCTTGTATTCCTATATAAACCAAAGGACAAAAAGAAGAAGAAACATTCCTGCACTATGGGGAGACAGTACTGCCGCATCATTGGTGGAGGACGACTTTGGTAAGGATCAAGGGTTCTCAAACTACTTTAGCAATGTATACACTATAGAAGCACCCTTCCCGTCAGCGTATACAAATTCCCCCACAAATACACTGGATAGAGTGACCATTAAACAACTCTATGTCTTTGGTCTGCTAAATAAGCTTGACATAGGTAAATCCACGGGGCCCGATGATTTGCATCCTAGGCTACTGAAGGAATTATCTAACTTCGTTGCAAGCCCTTTAAGTATATGCTTTAATCTATCCGTAACCCAGGGTCGTTTGCCAAAATACTGGAAGAACGCCATAGTAAGTTTTGTCTTCAAAACAGTTACGAAGCATAGACCTGAGAATTACCGACCCGTTGGCTTAACTATTGTGGTTGTTAAAATTTTAGAAAAGATTATTCTTGTCTCACTAACTTATTAGTCACTCGTGAAAGCTGGTGAGCTCTTAAGGACCAAAAGTCACCTGTAGACGTAGCCTTAATTGATTTCAGCAAAGCTTTTGACAAAGTTTCTCACAACCGGCTGTTATAGAAGCTAAGAAATGTCGGAATTGGAGGCAATCTATTGATGCGAGTAAAAGACTTCCTAGTTGGGAGTCAACAAAGAGTACGGGTGAACTCAAAGTTATCTAGCTGGGAGACTGTGTTTAGTGAAGTGTCGCAGGGTACAGTTTTGGGGCCAGTACTATTCTACTTGTATGTAAATGACCCTCCTCTTCTCCTATTATCATCGGTTTTGCTATATGCTGACGATGTCAAGATATGGAGAACGATACGAAGTAAGGGTGATAGCTTAGAACTCCAAAATGACCTGAAGAAATTATCTGAATGGTCTCAAACCTGGCAGTTGCCGATACATACTTCCAAGTGTGTTGTGATGCATATCGGTCATCAAGGTACAGATACATACACGATGAATAACACTGAGCTACCTGTTGACCAGACGCATAATGACTTAGGAGTCATCGTTAGCCAAGACTTAAAGACGATTGCACACTCTCGTGCAATAGCCGCCAAAGGTTTTAGAACTTTATGGCTTTTAGTCATGTCGACGCCAAAACGTTTTTGACTTTGTATACAGTATTCGTACGTCCTAAACTTGAGTACTGCACACAAGCGGCTAGCCCCTGCTTAAAAATGACAGTGAGTTTCTGGAAAAGGTTCAGAGAACAGCAACTAAGCTGATTCCCGGAATAGCGAAGCTCCCGTATGATACTCGACTAGCCAAACTAAACCTATTCCCGTTGTCATATCGTAGAACTAGAGGCGACTTGATTACAGTTTTCAAATTGCTTAGTGATATATTTGCACTTGATACGCCCTCATTTTTCTTGTCTTCCAAAACAGAGAATTTACGAGGACACTCCAACAACGTTCACAAGCCCAGAACAGATTACTTGTCAGCTGACTATCAACTTTCCCATCGAATCATCAACGAGTGGAATTCATTACCTCAGCAAGTGGATGGGGCTCCATCCGTCGACTCTTTCAAAAGAAAGTTGCATCAACTGAGAGACCACCATTGCCAGGACTAACACAGGCCATCAAGCCTCCTGTCCTTTCCAAACTGAAACAGATCACTAGCCACTAAAATTCTCAAGACCAAAAATTTATTCTCTTTAGAAATAAACTACAGCTGAACAAAAACTTTATATTGGGACCTACCTAGCTCTTGTGTAATGTAAAACCACGTGCTTGACCCTCTATAAATAAACCATGAATAATTACTTGATTTTTCACCATGCGTACCGCAACACTTAAACTACATTTGTACAGGAAAAAAAGTGGACTTTAATTTGCATACTTTGAATTGAATCTCATTTAATGCAGCAGTCAAATCCTTATTTCGACGAATTGACATATTTATGCCATAATATTTCGTTATCGCTGATGTAAATTTACCTGGTAATTCTATGTCCAACTAGAAAAGTGTACATAATTATCAATAAGATACCACCTCCAGTAATAGCAAAAATCCACAAACGCTTACTGACAGAAACGCCCAAATAAGGATAAAGTTGCTAATTATGTGCTTTCTGAGTAAGTTTTGAAGCAAAACTTACAATTAGTAACAAAGTAGGACTATCAACGTTGAAAATGCAGTATCCAAAAACAGCCACTCCAGCTCCAAATATAGATGAAATAAGCAATACAAGCTTTCCGGAAGAAAAATAGTAGGACTTCATGATAATTTCGAAGTCAGAAAACCGAGATGTCCAAAATAGTAGCCAACATGAAAGACCCACAAGAATTCCCATTAATAACTAGTGAATTATTATTATTATTTAACAGGAATTACCAAGAAAATAATTTGATGAGTAAGTAAGGAATTTTTTAACCAAACACTTATAGAAGTCTGTACTGGGCGATATGTTTTAAAGACCATGTGTTCGGATTTACGAATTGTAACTCATCATATCCATAGAAGCCAGCTTCGGTTGAGTTAGATAAACAAATTCAATATTTCAGATTCGTATTTGTGTAGTAAGGACAGAAGGCCTACGGCCTATGTTATTCCTTTTCTAGTATGCTTCTGTGAGTGTCCAGTCTTCTCTTGAAAGGGTCAGTTGAAGGTGCGGACACCACTGCTCCATGTAACAGGTTCCAAGTATTGATGACTCGGTGTGAAAACCTGTATGCCACGGGTATTTTGTTCGTTCTTGGCTTTTCTATTCGCCTGCTATGTCCTCTGAGGTTTCCCGATCTAGTGGGAAGAAAGAGAGAATAAGTTAGGTCCGAAATCATTTCTCAGTATTCTGTACATCAATATTAGATCTCCCCTTAGTCTGCGATAGGATAGAGTAAAGAGGTTCAGTTTTTCAAGCGGCTCTTTATATGATAAACCCCGGAGTTCCGTAATAGCACGCGTAGCTGCCCTCTGTACTTCTTCTAGTATGTCTGAGTCACCTTTTAAACAGGGGCTTGCAGCCTGAGCACAGTTCTCTAACTTAGTTCTCACTAAGGATGTGTATAATGTGGTGAACATGGTAGTATCAAACTTAGTGAATGTCCTTTTTAAAGCCCAGAGAGTTCGAAACCCCTTAACTGCGACCTCCTGGCAATGGGCCGTCGTCTTAAGATCATTGCTCACTGTCACCCCTAGGTCCTTATGAGACCGGACTACGAGTAATGACAAATCCCCTATGTTGTACCTATTAACCTTTGAATCCCCAAATTGCATGTAGACACATTTTTCCGAGTTGATAGGCATCAGCCACTCTTTATACCAGTTTATCATATTATTTAAGTCCGCCTGAAGAGTAAATGCGTCTTTGTCTGCAGTTATTACCCACCAAATTTTTACATCGTCAGCGTATAATAACATTGGAGACTGTACTATACTTGTAAGATCATTAACGTACATTATAAAAAGTAAAGGACCTAGGACGGAACCTTGAGGTACTCCACTAAGTACTGGTCTCCAGATGGAGCACCTGGAATTTATTCTTACTTTTTGCCTACGACCTACTAGGAAATCCTTAATTCATTTTAAATGAGGTCCGGCAATACCAAGGTTTGCCAACTTCAATAGCAGTCTATTAGTTGGCACCTTGTCAAAAGCCTTACTGAAGTCTATGTAGACAACATCCACTGAGTTTCCGTTGTCTAGCGCATTAATCCAGAGCTACCTAGCTATAAGGAGGTTCGTTGTACAGGATAGACCCTTTCTAAAACCATGTTGTGCCATGTTCAGCAAGTTATTGGTTTCCATAAATGCCGTTATGGTCCGTTTGATTATTCATTCCAGTATTTTAATTACAACACTGGTGAGGCTTACGGGTCTGTAATTCGATGGAACTTGTCGTGGACCTGTTTTGTGTATGGGAGTGACGATTGCGTCCTTCCAGTCCATAGGTAACACACCTTGGTCAAGTGACATTTTGAATATCACAATCAGTGGGGCTTCGATATATTGGGCAATATGTCTCAAGATTTTAGAGTGCAGTTCATCTGGTCCTGTCGACTTCTCCATGTTTAGGGTGCTAAGCGCCTTAAGCACATCGTTTTCGTCGAAGTCCACAGTGAGCAGCTGGTTTGTTGACTCTGTAATTGGGTCTGGTTCTTCCAATGTTCTGATGCTAACTTACATATTTGTGTGAAGACTTACTATAAATCATCTTATTGATTGGAACTTTGTGGTGTTTGAATGAACGAATGATACATTTGTACTTGTTGAATCCTTAACTTCGAATTCTAAATACAGTACATTCGTTTGTGGTTATCTAGTAATTCTCGATCCGATTACGTTATTTCTGGGATTCTTAGTTCATACTATAATTCAAGTACTTCTAATTATCACAGTGGCGTCGCGATTGAACCTGTGATGGAATTGTTGGATATACATTCAGATTTTGATGCTTTTGAGGATTACTTTGAAAGGTTCGAAATTCGGGCTATGACCAAGGAAGACGATGAGGATGTTACTATTGTAGCAAATTTCCTCATATTTATCGGAAAAGAAGCACATAGCTTATTAAAAACTCTGGCTTTACTCCGGAAAAGCCCATTTTGCTTTCTTATACAAGTCTCAAGGATCTAGTGCTAGACTATGTTAAGGATACAAATTCCGAATGTGGTAAAGGAGGAGGACTTACTAAAATGATTCATGAGGATATAATAAACTCCACTCCATTACGTCATCCCAATACAGTGCACACTGAAGGTTATGCAGATAATTCATTGAGGAGTTGAGATGCAGTTCATGAAAATGAGCACAAGTTTGGTCAATGTTTGTCCTGTGGCAAGTTCCACTCTTTTAATTCATGTAAATTTCGTAATTCTAAGTGCTTTAAATGTAGTGATGTTGGAAATATTCAGTCAGTTTGTAATACTACTGTACATCTTGCTGCAACTAATATTAAGTCTTGTAATTCTGATTAATAATAATAATAATAATAATAATAATATATTTCTGCATGTGCAGGTACACACCGTTTTTACAGGCATGATCTATAAATTACAATATTTGTTGGTTCGCAAAATGCTTCCCAACTTATTAAGTTTATAGTTGTTATAAAGTGAGATCGTAGAGCGCTTGCTGTAAACTATGACCTTGAGAGGACACGTACGTTAAGTTTGCTCCAAACGTCAGAAGTTTCATAGTTGTGCTCTCAGAGCAAGATTCTGAAAAAGAAAAAAAAAGAAACAGAGGAGCAGCAAGGCACTTGGATATGAACGCCAAAGGTTGCTTAACATTGTGTAGTAGAACGGACAGAGGTATAATAAATTAGAATAAATTCATATTATGTCTTGTTAGAGTGAAGTGAAGTCAGAGGCTCCATATTAGAGAATGTACTAATAAAGAACAACGAGTAGTGATGTTTAACAAGTTGGAGTAAGCTCACATGAAGGAAGGGAAGTCAAGGTTGGTACAAGGGAAGCGGTTTATTAGAAGGGTGTATATATAGAGGGTGAAGTGTTAAGAATACTAGTGACTATATCTTTTATTGTCTTTTTTCTTTTCTTTTTTTGTCCATCCGATGTCAGCCACGCAATCCTAGTGTAAAAGTCTGAGTTAGCATGTTATAGGTTGTCTTAGTAGAATAGCTAATCCAGCATATTATTGGAAACATGAGTCTGAGTGGTGAGCGTAGGAAGACAATCTATATCTTAGATTGACTGTCTTATTCTCAATTATAAAGAGCCTGATACATACAAAATGTTCTGTCCCCACAAACACGGGTGGATTGAAGTTATCGCCCTCACCATCAATGCTTGCTGGTCAGTAACTCCACCCTCCCTCCTTTTGTGATGTTAGGCTCATTTAAGCTTATTTTTGTATATACGTCATACCTCACACAATCCTCTGTTTCACAACTTGTTGGAAAGCACTATTTCTATAAGTACCATTTTACAAGCTTATCAGGCAGTTACAAGCTGTGGACTGTGGGTAAAGCATCGATGCAGTGCCTCTGTTGACTATAGTATAAAGTATAGTTTGCCAAACAGAGTATAAGCGTTAAGAAGGGTATATTGTAGGATAGTTGTTTATTTAAGCAGGCGGAAAAAGTATAGAAGTATGAGTTGTGGATAAGGGAACGAGTAGAGAAATAATATTAATTGCTAGTCAACATTGTGTACAGAAGAGTAAAAAGTTAATATAGGATAAACAGGAAGGAACTCACAGTAACTTGGTGCTGATGTTATTTTATGTTGTCTTAACCAGTTGATTGGTAACAGGTTCCATAGATGCAAGACCACTGGTAGTAGGCAGCCGATTGTCGGGTCCTCTTGACTTTTTAGGGTGGTAGTGATTGTCCCTTATCGACCGAGTTTAGTTTGACAGTAATGATAGGTCCAGTGAGTTACCTGTCTACTTCAAGTGAAGAAATGGGGTGGAAAAAGTAATTAATACAACTGCAAAGTAGGAAAAATAAGGCAAACTGAACTTGAAGTCCATTTTGGTCTAGACATGGAGAGAGCCTATGATGTCTGAGTGGGGTGCAGATGTGTTCGTACGTGCAAGATCAGTGCGAGTGAGGGCTTGATCAAGCAGTTTCACAAACGTATGTAGTTCATCTGCCATGCGAGTCTCGGAAGGAAGACTGTTCCATATTATTGCATACTTGGTGAGGAAGAAGTTTTCCCGAGTTTTTGATCTGTATTTCTCAACTTTGACCGTAGATACTTTGTTTCGAAGTTCGTATTCATGTGAATCTCGGGCAAGAATTATCTGACATGTTGAGTAAGTAAGGTTTTTGAGTAGTTTGAAGTAGAGAATCAAATTAGACCTAAGCCTTCTCTCCCAAAGGGGTGCTATTCCTAAGATTTGGCATCGAGAACTGTAGTCAATGACCGAGCCAGTCTTAAGTATTTTGCGGGTGAAGTCTCGTTGTATTCCTTCCACCTTTAGTATATCAGATAGACGTAGGTTGGAGAATAAGAACGAGCAGTATTCAACGATAGGTCTTACACAAACTTTGTAAAGAAGGATTTTAGATTCATTTTGATAGAAATTACGGAGAATGAAGCCAAGCAATTTCCGCATTTTGGATGCTTTGGCTGAGATGTGTTCAGAGAAATTAAGACTGTGTGAATAATGTACCCCTAGGTCAGTTACTGATGCCAGTCTGGGGAGTGCGTGATCGCTAATTGTTAGTTTCATTTTAAGAGACGTGTCTCCTATACATAACCAGCCGCATTTCTCTATGTTGAGCTCTAACCTCCAGCGTTTGCACCAGTCATC